GGAAAATTCTACAAAACTGTCATAAAACCAGCTAAGATATATGGACCTGAATGTTGGGCAGTTGAAAAGAAACAGGAACAACAAATATATGTGGTGAAAATGAAAATTCTTTTAGATGAATGAGAGGAGTCACAAAGAAGGATAAGGGTGGCACCAATTGATGAGGCAATAAGAAAGCATAGGTTGATATGATGGTAGTTGAGACAATAAAAATTGATGATTTGTATGTTTCTATGAGGGGCAGAAGAGGAAGACCAAAGAAGACAAGGAGGAGAAGATAGAAATTTGACATAACACAATTAAAATAAAAAGTATTCTGTTCTAGTATAAATGTGTGCAATTGCTTCATTATACCTTACAAATATAAATGTAAAAATTGAAAATGATACTATATTTTATAATATATTAGCTTATCTGCTAGATATGCTATTGCATTTCTCCTGGGAAATATCTGTGTGAAAAAATTTCATTTACATTTAACAAATTAAATACAAAATATTGTACTAACCTGTAAAGTAAGTTTGAATTAACCATTAAGTTATTCCTATCATTATTAGAACATCATCACTGTCACCATTGTTTCCATTGAATTTTCCCTCTAGAGTCACAGCAGCTGTTGATTCATGAGACGTTATTCTGTATCTGCAAACAATATTGTCTAATGTATTCATTTTATAGTAAATTATACACTTGAACACCAAAAAACATCTAACTTTGATTAATGCCAAAATTAAAACGGGAAATGAATGCAGATCCCTACTGGGTGAATTTTAAGCAGAACAAGAATTTGTTGTTAGCTCATGAAATATAAGTACTTTAAATTTTATCAAATTTTAAATTAAATATTTTAACATGAAATAACTACAAAATAAAGCATTTTCTGGGTAAACCTCTTCAAAAAATTTTTAAAGTTTTTAAAATAGCTTTATTTTCGTTCCTTAGAAAGATTCTAGCATCAAAACACTCACTTACGTTACACTCACTCACGTTACACTCAAAATAACATTAGTCCCTTTTTTGGTAAAAAATGGGGAAAATAACCCCCTAGTTTTCACCTCAAATGAAATTAACTGTTACTGCTTTACAATTTACTTTATTTGTGCATTGTTTATATAATCAGTACAGGGAATTTTAAGTATTCTCCTGAACACCTAAATTTCAAAAGCCTCAAAGCAATTTATGAAGTCAAACTTTATTGTACAAGTCTCCCCAACATACGGCAGTACTGAGTAAATATAGCATTTCACAAAACGTTACTGTCTTTTTCTCTAGATGATATAGTCTAAAGAGAAATTATTCAAAATATACCCAGCAGCCTTACATCAAGTCAGATCATAATCCACTTATCAGTAAAATGAAACTCATGTTAAAAAGAATTGAGCCAATGTAAACAAAAAAAATATGATATGATGCAACTAAAGGATAAAAACACATCAAACAACATTTACAGGAGAACTTGCATACTGTTATTCAAGCAAATAACACCAAACAAAAACTTATAATCTTCATAACAATGATGGATACCATTTGAAAGTAAATAAAAGACAAACATCTAGGAGTGACACTCTATATGACATTAAGGACACACTTTTTCAAACCATGAATTGGAAGAATTTACTTAAAAAGCAGAAAACGTTTATCAAAGTCCACTGGCTTATACATAAAGTGATACCCATTTGATAATTGTTTATCTTACAATTCACAAATAAAAGTATGGTAATGCTAACTCTAAAAGGAGACCATAAATATAAACTGAAATTTTTAATGAATAAAGATAAACTGAAAATATTGTATAGAATAGAAGGAAAACAAAAAATAATGATTTGATCAAATCAAAATTTACCAAACAATAGATCACTATGTCATTACAATACAATTAAGACTTTCATTTTAACAGATCCTACTTCCAAAACTTCATTACTTATTAATAGGTTTTAATACTCACCGAAATACATTTTCTGTATTGGAATGTCTTGTAGTACAACCTAATCGAATCAATTGTATACAATAATTATTATTCTAAACCACAAACCCACAAATTAAGCAATATTATATTATTACAAAATTATGTTTTATCTATTCTATATTCTATCTAATCTATAAAGGATCATTTTTCCACCAGGAGATTATATTACCAGTTACTTTACTCTTACAAAATTACATAATTTAAACATCACAAGACAAGACTGGACAATAGTGTTGGCTAGTGAGTCGATGTTTTGTTTGAAGCAATGAGTTGAGTCACAGAACTGTTTCAATGTTTCGGTACATTAAACGTTTTACTGTTTCGAAACATCGAGTCAGTACGTGTCATCGTGTCGACTCCAAAAATCACGTCGACTGTCTCGTTGTTCGGTATATACTGTGCCATCTGTGTTGCTTGTTGCTGTGCTGTTCCTCGTAAATCAATTGTGTTAGCAGTCGGAAAAATTTTAAAACTTAAAGAACAAGTGGCTAACTGCCTGACCTGACTGATTTTAAGTTTGAAACGATCACAGTTGTTTTAAGTTGATGTAAATGTTAAGTTGTTTTTAACTTTAAAAATGTTAAAATTTCTATATTCCAGTCTGTAATAATGAAATGTCATTTTTATTTCAAAGTATTTAATGTAAATAACACCACGTAGCACGTACCTATTTTCGTTCTGGTAATGATAAGTATTCATTTAAAAATGGTAATGAACATCTATGCCACCGAGAAAAAAATCTAATTAAATAAAACTAGACTAAACATATTAAACCTACACCTAAGACCTAAAACAATAAATTTGTTCTTAACAAGCTCAAATCCCTAATCGTTCAAAAATCCTCACAATGCTTTAACAATCACATTGCTGTCACATGCCTTACAGAAAATGAATCGGCAGTCTGCACGAAATATATCCATAGATAAATAATATAGTATATCTTGAATATATCTTTACATAGCAACCCAAAATGAGTTGTTATGATATTAAGTTACAGTATCGAGTAGAATGTGTCAATTGTTCAATGTTTCGAATCATCACAGTGAGTTATTTCAAATGACTCGAAACATTCGAATGAGTCATTTCGCCGGACAAGACTTATAACCTACTTCTAACCAAACATTTTTTTGCCCCCTTATTTGTTTCACCTACCACCTACCGGACGAGGAGCGCACTAAATTTTAAAAAATCGGCTTCACTTATTTTTGCGGAGATTCCTTTCACAATCTGACTGCAAGAGTTGACCTATATTACTTATTAAAAAAGCAGTGCAATAGATGGGAAAATGTTTGTAGCTTATTATAAAAAGAAATCAAATTAACAGAATCAGACCAGTACTTGATGCAAGTATTCGATCTGTGGCATTAGCACAGAATAATAAAACAATTGTTATATGTTCTGTGGTATTAGTGATAGGGCGTTCTTTACAAAAACTCTTCCTCTTTTTGACAATAGATGACAAAGAAATATTATCACTGGCATAAAATGACTGCAGTACTTATATTTTAATAAAAAATTAAAAGTATTTAAACTGTATTTTTTGCATTGGTATAATTTTTGAAAAATTCGTTGTGATATTCTAATAAAGTATCAATAAGCGTTTTAAAATATATTTGTAAAATTTACATAATAAAATACTAATGACTGATTAGTTGCCTAGCTAGTAGGAACTTGTTCTTTATATAGGATTTTTTGAATTTAATCCTAGACATCGATTTTAGTGCATTATTTAGCGAACTTCTTCTTCTTCGCGTGCCATATCAGAATTATCCGACGTTGGCGATCACCATTGCGAAGGCTTCTTGATCTTCTGTAATATGGAATAATTGTCCTGCATTTGATATCGGAGTCCATTCATGAATGGTTTTTAACCAAGAATCTAGTTTTCTTCCTACACCTCTACGGCCCTTTATTTTGCCTTTAAGGATCAGTTGTAATATTTTTATATCGACTTCCCCTTACTATATGTCCCAGATAATACATTTTTCGATGTTTAACAGTCTTTAGCAGTTCTCTATATTTGTTGACGCTCCTTTGTACTTCTTCATTAGTTTTCCTTGGTTTCCAAGGTATCTTCAGCATTCGTTTATGAATCCACATCTCCAATGCTTCAATTTTGTTCATGATCGATACTTTTAGCGTCCACACTTCTGCACTATACAAAAGTACGGACCAATAGCATAGCCTAGCACTTAACCATTATTCTTTGTCTTAGTTCGAAACTGAGATGGTTATTGCAAAGAAATAACTTCATTTCCATAAAAGTAGTTTTAATCATTGCTATTCTACGTTTTATTTCTATGTCTGGATCTAGTTGGTCCGTTATCACAGTTCCCAAATATGTCATTTTGTGAACTTTCTCAACTTGGACTCCGTTTAATTAAAGCTTTGCATCGAGATGTGGGTCACGACTAAACACTAAAAATTTGGTTTTGTTTGAGTTTATTTTAATGCCCATTTCCTCTCCTACTTCGTGAATACGATCAAGCAGAATTTTAAGACCTTCAATATTATCTGATAGAACTACTGTATCGTCTGCATATCTAATCACATCAAGTAATTCCCCGTTGATTTTGATTCCATATGCTTATCTCTCAAGAGCCTTTTTAAATAACTGGTCCGAGCAAACATTGAACAATGTTAGCGACAAAATGCAACCTTGTCTGACTCCTCGTTGTATAGAGATTTCATCGGTGTAGTTATCTCCAATTTTTACGATAGAAGTTTGATTCCAGCACAAATTTTTAATGACACGAATATCCTTGTCATCTATTCCGATATTTTTCAGTATTTGCATTAATTTGACATGCTGTACTTTATCGCAAGCCTTTTGGAAATCCACGAAATATGCAAACACCTATTTTCTTTGATCACGGCACTTTTGTAATAGGATGTTAAGCGCAAAAAGTCCCTCCCTGGTGAACTAATCCTTGGATTTTTTGCTGGACATTTACTAAATTCTATAACCTGAAATCTCAATGAGCTTTAAGAGAAACTTTAAATTTAGAGGAAAGGATAAAATGGTCAAAAAAGTCCTGCTTAAAAAATGTATTTGTGATTACTTGAAAACACAGTTATCCTTAAGTAATACTAAAGGTAATCTAAAGATAAATTTTCAAAAGTTCTATATAATTCCAGCTACAGCTGGAACACAAACACAACAGAAACTGGTAGAAAACAATGACATTAACAGATATATAATTTTATGACATCTAGCAGCCACATACATTTTACATTGACACTGATGTATATTGACATGGTTGGATATTCAATCATTATTTACTGGCACTGGTGTTTTACTTAATCTTAATGATAATGATATAAAAACCATTCTGAATTTAAATTTTGCAGGTATTGTTAGATCTGTTTGACACTGAAGCAATATTTGAAAAGATTATAAGAGTTGGGAAACTCTTGATGTACAGAACATTCGAGAAAACCACTAATGTGTGAATCTGGTTTGGAGAAATATTTTTTAACACAGTAAGTATGAAGAATTGTTAAATTAGTATGCCTCTGAAAATTATATACACAAATCTAATTCGTAGAAAACATTTGTGAAATGTTTAATATGCATGACTGAGTTAAACTACAAGGCAATCAGTGGAATTTGTTTAAATTTCATAACATAAAGTACTTGGCTTGCTTCAAAGGTATTACTTGAATGATAGGTAGATGTAGTATCCAAAACAGGGCATAATTGGTAACCTACGAAACAGAAAACGACAAAATGTTAAGTTTTCGAGGCATGCATTGCTTTCGAATAATCTAACAATTTTTTGGATTGCTTTTGCATCATATATTAAGTTTAATTTAAGGAACAATGATTGAATTTCCAAAATAAACCAAAATGTCTCTTTCCACGACTAACGTTAGTAATATAAATTAATAATATTCTAAGAGAAATAACAATAGATAAATACGAAAATTTAGTTTCTTCTAAGATATAAAATAAGGAGATTTAAATTGGTAATTCATTACCCACTACTACTAGATAGCAGAAAATCCCAGTCTCATTCACAAGGCAGCGTTCACAAGCTACTGATAAAACAAAAAGAATCCAAAAGTGGTGAAAGTTACTTTTGATTTATAACAGTATGATAGATCTGGCGTTTTGTAATAATAAAAAATTAATGTTGATATCTTTCATTCTAAGAGTTGCTTGAGAACACACAATGCATTTCGAATATTCAAATTTGGTATTATATTTCTTTATTGTAGTTTTCTGTACAAACTCTAGACTCTGTAATATTATTTATTGGAGTTTATATCAATATTTCCGTTGATTGCTTATGTTTGTGTCTTTATGATTTAAATTTTTCTTGAACAGACCATGAACTTCTACATTTGTGCGTCTATTCCATCCATATTGTGTTCTTATTCAACCCTAAAATCGGTGAGTTGTTTTTGTTGATGTATTTTTCACTGCAATGTTTTTCTTCTATATCACTTTTCAATCCTATAACTTCATTTAACAGAGTTTCGTCAGTTTTGTCTTAATTTTCCTTTTCCCTCCAATCATTCTTTATCACCTGTACATGTTCTAATCCTAAGCCGCAGTGCCAAGTTGTATTTTCTTTTATTCCTTCGACATTTTTTAGATCTATTTATTGTGTCATTGTTCTTTTATGATTTATTTTAGTACTGTCTACATCTGTAATATATGTGTGGACTTGATCTATCATACGACAGTGTTTCTAAAATGCTTTATCAAGAGGTTTATTAGACATTCCTGTTAAGTGCGTTAGAAGCATTGTTTGAAACTGTAACCAAACTTTTGAATTATAAACCTAAATTATAGTCAGATAAATCAGTTAAACCAGATTCAAGAAACTTTTCTTCAAAAGGTTCTAATCTAGGTTTAAATTATCAAAGAATATATTAAAATTAAAATAATGTCACATTTGTGTATACAAAAGCTGAACAACTGCAAAATTGTACTTTCATACGGTTTTAAATGGCACTCATGAATACCTGTAATGCTGTATGACAATGTATTAATTTAAGACTTTGGTGAATTTCATCTATTGTGTAGCGAACTTGTTGTTCAACTCTGGTGTACACTGCCTTAACTTATGTACATTATTACATAGTGTACAAGATACCTATCAAACGTGTGAAAAAACCTTACCTATAATAAAAACTTTTGATCAATTTATAAAATAAAGCCATATAAAAAACTTAAACTTATTTCCTTTTTCTACCAGCTTGGAACACTGACAAGATTTGATTTCTTAACGTACTTTAATGGCGGGAACGAAAAATCCGTGTTTACTTAGCCAAAGACCCACGCCAGTTCCCAGCAGAAGAGAGATGAGATTAGTAAGGAAAAGGGTGCATAGGCCTTTACGGGAAAAGACGCTACTATTGCCAACACGGGCATATCGAATACTTAGAAGATCTCGCTTTGGTGGACGGAAACTCCAATTCTTAGGCGGTAGTTGATCAGGGCGACTGCTCCAATTGTTAAAAAACTCAGAATCCGATTCCTGGAACAAAAAAATCATTTATTTCATAAATTTTTAATAACGTACACTATGTTCAAAATATATACCTAACCAAACTTTACTTAGACAATGTCAAGCCAAACATGTCGTCGGTCAGCATGGTGACTATGCTACTCTGACCCGTACAAATAAACGATTCTATGCTCTCCTTAAATTAAGATTAAATTAAGATGAGTCTATATTATCCTCTTCTCTTCTTCCTTTTAATTTAGGACCATTGTCTCAAAGTGTTTTTTTTTGTAGAAAACAAAAACGACTTGATATAATGAAAATTCCTTCGTTTATTCACTAGCCAGAGGTACAAACTACAAGAAAATTTTTTGATTTCAGATGAAGCTAGACCTAGATATCATGTCCACCGCAAGAAAAAGGCTGTTGGCGAAAAATTACTGTGAAATTAACAAAAATTAATATTTTTGACTGAAATTCATTTTTCAGAGTACTTCAAGTACTATACTTTTATATGTCTTAATTACAAATAAAAATAATTTTTAGTTTTTAAGATATAATTTTTTAAACCCCTTAATTTTTAGTTTTTTTTTTTCAATCAAAATATTCAACAAATACAGGGTGTGTCATAACTATTGGGACATAGACTAAGGACAGGTTATTTGGACCAAAATATGGCTATTGGGCCAAATATGCCTTAATAAAATGTTGTTGAGAAAAAAGATACAGGTTAAAGTTAATTTTTGTTTTTCGTTTTTTGCTAATAGTTTCCCTGTATATTTATAAATTGCTATCAAAATTGGCACAGAGGCATAATCTTAGACCAGAAATAGTATTTTATTTACAATTCCACTATCAAATATCAAACTAATAAACAAAGTTGCAACTAACGTAAGGTTTCCGTTTTGACGATAAATCAAAACTAAACACACTTTAACTTAAAAGAACTCACAAAAATTCAAACTAAATGTTCTACATGGTCTCCTCTGATTTCTGTGCCTTTTCTAATTCTTTTTATAAAGGATTTTCGGACGTTAAAAAAATATTATTCTGTCCCCTTATACAATTAGCTGCATTTTGAATGTATCTCCAAAGTTCGTCTCGTGTATTAATTTCATTGGCATAAACTAAGGAGTTCATATGTCCCCAAAAATAAAAATCTAGCGGGTTGTACTCAGGACTTCTTGGTGGCCATTGAAAATCACTGCCTCTGCCAATCCATCGTTGAGGAAATACGTCATTAAGATGATTTCTAACAGCTAATGAAAAATGAGGTAGCGCTCCATCCTGCATAAACCACACTTTTTTTCTTACATCCAGTGACAGATAATCTAAAATATCACTAAGAGTATTTTCCAAAAAGAATAAATAAGAATCTCCATTTAATTGCGGAGGAAGACTATAAGGCCCTAGTAGTTGGTCGCCTATAAAGCCACACCAAATATTCAATTTAAACTCATGCTGAAAATGTAAATACTGACTGGTAAATAAACACGTGGCGGTTTGAACTCAGCCACTATGTATATTCAGGTATACACACGGCAGTTAAAGTGTCAAAACGGAAATATACTTTCTTATAAATATTTACGATTTCAAAAAATTTTTTTAAACCTTTAGATTTTAGTTATTTGTGCAAATCGAATCAAACGAAACAAATTTACGTAAACTTGATAAAGGAAATAATCTGTTTATTCTTAGATTTATAATAATTTATAAAAAACAACTTCCTGTCAAATATTTATCGCACGTGCAAAGCGCTTGCCAATAGATATCTAGAAATAAAATCCACAATCTAGCGCATTACAGATTGTAGGTTTTGTCTCAGTCAGACCATAAATTAATTGACGAATTTCATAATTTGAGATAATAAAAACGCATTTCACAGCGAGACAACCAAACATATATTTATTATAACAATAAAAACAAGAATAAATTAATTCAAAAGTTTCTTAGGTCGTTAAAAATACAATCGTTTTCCTTTTTATTTTCTTAGATCTTCTAATTTCTACCTAGATTCTTAGTTCTTCATTTTAGTTCAATTGATCTGCTAAAAGTAGACGATAAATTGCTAACTTTCAAGAGGATCAACATTTTTACAACCGAAATATCGAACTGTATCACGTTTGAGTAAAATGGAACTATTATACACAGAGAAACAACAAACGGTTGCTGGCTAAAATAATGCGTTATAGATCGTTTATTCTGACGTAATGAGCAAATATTCGCGCTATTGACAAACGTTTCATATAATCGTGTAAACAAATTAATCTCCTTTAAATAGTCTTGTGGTTAATGAAAACGTTCTGTTTAATTACTCAACTAATAGTGTTGGTTTTTGTTGTTCAAATTATAAACTGTCGAGTACTTTTGTAAACAAATATATAGGTGGAGGCTGAAATTGGGTTTCACAAACAAAACTGTTGTATAGTCAACAACTACCCATAGTGAAAATTTGCCAAAACCCTTATTTTCTCAAAAACTTTTAATATCCGAGAAAACGAATATCTTTAGTCTTTTACAGGATAAAATCACTGGCAACGAAAAAAAGAAGAGAACACTTACTTAAATATTTAAGAGAGAGAGGAGAACGCCTTATAGAAGTCTGCCTAGAACATAATCTTGCTTTAATGAATACTTTCTTCAAACTTCCTAAACGACGCCTTTACACTTGGAAATCGCCAGCTGACAAATTCGATAAAATCGTTAGAAACCAAATTAATTATATTTTAATAAACTACAGATACCGAAACACAATACAATCGATGAAAGCGTACCCAGGTGCAGACGTGGCTTCGGGCCACAATCCTCTTGTAGCAAAATTCCAACTTCACTTAAAAAAATACAAAAAAGCTACAAAAGTGATAAACTAAACATACAAAAATTAAAATCAGAAGACATCAAAGAAAAACTGAAACAAGAAATTAATGCAAACCTAGAATCCACACCGGAATCAATTGATGGTGATGTCAAACAACAGTGGCAATTCTTTAAAAATGCAATTATCGAACCAAGTCGCAGAGAACTCACAACAACCAGATGCAAGAAAGGAGATTAAAAGACAGAAGAAATCTTGGAAATGATGGAGGACAGAAGAAGGCAAAAGAATATCAACATCATTCAGTATCAACAGCTGCATATTCAAATAAGAAGGAAAACAAGAGAAGCTAAAGAGACTTATTTCGCTGGAAAATGCCAAGAAATAGAGGACTTATAAAACAAATATGATAAATTCAATCTCCATAAGAAAGTTTAAGAATTAGCTGGGGTAGCAAAACAAAAAACCTCAAGCATACTATTGGACAAACAAGTAAACATTTTAGTGGAGACGGAACAAAAATTAGGACGATGGAAAGAATACATAGAGGAATTATTCCATAACCAAATTACATATGAGGATAATCAGAGTAAAGACGAGGGACCCGAAATAACAAAGTCAGAAGTTATGCATGCAGTAAAGTACATGAAAAATAATAAAGCTGCTGGTCCAGATGAAATACCAAGGGAATTGCTAAAACTGGTCAATGAAAAAAACATGGATGTTTTAATCCAACTACTGAACACAATCTATTCCACAGGAATCATTCTAAGTGAAATGCTGACATCAACATTTATTTGTCTACCAAAGAAAGTAAATGCCAAAGAATGTAGTGATTATCGAACGATCAGTCTAATGTCAGATACCTTAACAATTCTGCTAAAAATCATCCATAATAGAATACAAGCAAAGCTGGAGATGGATATTTGTGATTCCCAGTTTGTATTTCGGAATGGAGTGGACACAAGAGAGGCATTGTTTTCTTTTAACGTGCTGACCCAAAGATGTTTGGATGTTAATCGAGATCTTTATGTATACTTTATAGACTACAACAAGGCATTCGATAAGGTAAAACATGACCGACTTATAGAAGTACTCAAAAACAAGAATCTGGATGTGAGGGATGTAACACTGATATCAAATTTGTACTACAACCAACGATCAAATGTGAAAATTGGAATAGATGTGTCAGAAAAAGTGGAGATAAAGAGAGGGGTCAAGCAAGGTTGCATACTGTCGCCGTTATTGTTTAATGCTTATTCTGAAGAAATCATACAAGAAGCTTTGGTAAACGAGACAGTCGGCATAAAAGTGAATGGAAATTTAATTAACAACATCATTAGGTATGCCGACGATACAGTCATAATAGCCTAGCCTGGTTAATGACATAAAGTTGAGGATTATCTGATGTTTCATAAAAACTCTAGTATCAATAATTTTGAAACGGAGTACAGAAATTAATGTTTTTTTTTTCATTGAAAACTTGCATTTTTAATTTCAATTACTCGGTAGGTTGACCTTTGGGGCGCTTTGTATAAACATTATAGATTTTATAAAATTCCTAATATCTGCAAAGTCTGCAACATTTAATTGAACTGTCTTCGCACCAAGGTTATTAATCTCATTTATAAAAATATAAATAGATATGAGTTTTAGTTAATCAACAAAGGAGCAATCAGTAAATTGTATATTCTTGATAACGTCGGCTACAAATATATCATACATTAAACATATCAGCGAATAAAACATTTAAATACCAAATAGATGTACATTATTCTGTTAAACATTATTCTGTTAAAGTGCGTTCTATATTGAAATAAATATTCTTAAATTCCAATAACATTGATTTTTTTTTAATTTCATTTTTATAAATTTTTTCAAAAGTATTTTTGTATCTCAATATCGCCGTTTCATTTACAACTGTATTTGATTTAAAAATTGTAAATTAGTAAATCCACAGTGGGATAAATTAAAAATAAAAACACTCAACCTAACCAACATTAAATAACGTAGGATGTGGTAGTATTTAGGATTTGCATCGATGTGACGTCACTGAAGATGCGCGTCGGCATACCGGTATAAGTGTATCGTGGTTTTACCCAAAATCTTTAAACATGCCAATTTATTTTAATAATTATTGTCTTGAATTTTGAAGCCATTTAAATTAACAAATAATAGAACTATGTAATCTTTGCAGGTACAAAATATTTACAATTTCCAAAAAGGAGAGGGTCAATTTATAAGCCCTCAACTTTCTTCTTCTTCTTATAGTGCCGTGCACCTATAGTGCGTTAGCGAATTATCTTAAGGCCAGACTGCCAGACGTCTGTCTTTTGCGGCATGCAAAAGATCACCAGTGTTATTTATGCTTGTCCAGTTCTTTATGTTCCGTAGCCACGACATTTGTTTGCGTCCTACTCCTCTCTTGCCTTTAATCTTTTCCTGGATGATTAGTTGAGGGATTGCGTATATTTTTCCTCTCAGAATATGTCCAAGGTATCCAATTTTTCGTACCTTGATCAAATTGAGTAGTTCTCTCTCAGTATTTGCCTTTCTTAAGACTTCCTCGTTTCTCACCCTATCTGTTCATGGTATGCGGAACATACTTCGCAACGTCCACATTTCTAAGGCCTCCCACTTATTAATGGAAGGTACTGTTAACGTCCATGTTTTTATGCCGTGTAACAATATGGACCATACATAGCATTTAACCATCCTGTAGAAATCATACCCAGACTGAAATCACCGACCGCTATACCACATCTACCCCTACCGACTTTGACATTAAAATGGCCCATTATGATGTTGATATCGTTTTTCTTTGTGACCTTTAATGTTTCCTTTATGTCTTATAGAAATCTAAAACTTCAGTTTCCGGTTTATCAGATGTGGGTGCGTAAACTTGGATTAGATTTATATTAATAGGCTGACCTGCTAACTTCACTATGATTACTCTGAAACGGGTATGTATTTCTTTAACGGGGAAAAATTGATTGTTTCATATTTGGATTTGATGAATGTGCCTCCAGTTTTTGTTCAGGGGCCACAAAAGGCCGAAAATTTTCCTTTTTTAATTATTATCATCGATAAATTTTAAAAACTTAGTCAAGTCATGTCCCTTTGATACCAGAACTGATAATCGGCAGTAGTATAACCCAAAATTGATTCTTGTTTACGTGGATTTAACTTAAATGTTGATTATTTGGATTAAGTAAATATTTGTACATACAGATTTTATACTAGCGGTGAGAAAAATCACTTAGATTCACTTTATAAGTAAAACTGATTATTTTTAACTTCACATTAAACCGAAAGGTTTATGAATCTTATTTTAAAACCTACAACTCAATCATTAGCTCAATGTAAAAAGTATGATTCTTGGTATAAAAGAAATAAGAAATTAAAGTGTGTAAATCTAAGGAATAAACCATTACTTACCTCTTTGGCTTCGGTATTTATATAATAGTTTTGCCAGTCGAGATTTAGAGCAGTTCCCTGTACAGGGCTGTTTGGTGGCGATTTGGGGCTGCTTCTAGGAGAGTCTCGTCGTGATCCTGCTAGAGAAACTCTTGCAGACGACTGGTTAGATTCCTGGGCTTCTTTAAGTAAACATAAGTAGTCTTCAACGGACAGAGTGTATGTTATGGATCCTGGAGTACCTACGTTTGTGGAACCGCAGGTGGAGCCGGCGCCTACGTCCACCCATGATTCTGAAGAGAATTTATCTAGGTAGAGAATTTTGTAGAATAATACATATAGGAAACAAAGTTGTTAGTTTTATAAAATGAAAGTTAGTATGGTAATTAAAATGATATTTTAGTAACAAAATCTAAAGAATTTTCTATGTTTTAAAATTTTCATCTCAAATATTTGTTGTGTTAATGTCCCTAGTAATTACGTCTGTTTCTCAGATTTAAATAATAGTATTCCACAAAGAGCTGGTGGTTTAATTATAAGCATTTGAAACTGAGGGAGACTATATTGAAAAATAATATGTTTTGGTACAAAACATAAGTTTCTTCATAAAGTCACATCATTACAGAGGTTTGTTGAGAGTCAACAATGTTTATTTTACATTTACTGGTTGAACATTTTCTTAAGTATATGTACATTTTTGATTAACTCAGTGAGTATTTATAGGCATATTTGCCATTTTATTGTTTGCATATTTATCTAAGCCTACAACATTATATTTTAATGCATAAAAATTGTGTCAACATTAATTGAAACAAATAATAATACAGTCTGAAACACTATGTCTGGGAACAAACAGTGGCACTTAAAAATAAGTGACTAATCACTAACAATTTAAAGATAAGAAAGTCAGAGTGAAAACATAAACATAGATAATCAGTTATTCAACACAAACAAGAATTTCAAATATATTTTTTAAGTGATACAAACTATCCTCAGCATATAATAATATCGCCAGATAAGTGGATACATTAAGAAAAATAAACAAAAGAAAAAATCATTAGTAAATAAATAATATAAAAATGGCTAATGTTTTATGAAAGTATTTAACACAAATATATAAAAATACATATGAAACTATATGGGATAACAATAGCAATGTTCAGCAGGCTGTACAGAAAAGTAATAAAATAATTAATTGAATATAAATATGGACTTGGAAAAGCAGAAGAATAATGTTGGTTCAGAACAAGACATTCATATGTGAATCCTTTGTTTAGGTTGTAGCAAATAATAGAAAGCAAAGTAAGTATGGAGCTATTAAGAAGCCTCCATTTATCTTTCATAGATGTAATAAAAGTTTCATAGATGACCAAAAACATTAATATGGTACAATCACGTCAGATCGTAAAATCAAAATTCTCGGGATAGCAGATACTGCCAACATGCCAACTGTGTGTGCACATGACATTATACATGAAAATTTGGATGTGAAAATGCTATTCGTGCAATGGATGTCACATTTGTTCTCTGTCAACCAAAACGACCACATGTGTCAAACTCCAAGAACTGTATAATTCTCTGTCGTTACGTAAATGTTTATAAAAATGTATCCATTTCTATATGCAGGAGATGAAGAAACAGTCAAAACAATGGAGAAAAACTGGCAATGTCCATGAAACAAAGTCAAAGCCACTCTCAATCCACCAATTGCAATGTGAATTACTAAACAACTTACTCTAATGTACCACAGTACAGAGACAACAAATTCAGTATTATTTCAATACTGAAAGTAAGTTCAGAGTTAAATTTATAATGGAATTAGCTGAATAATATGCTGATTGTCAATATATACTCCCACTTGCTATAATTGGTATTTTTGCCATCAACAGCAAAACTCATAAAAAAATGTGCTAATTTCTTAAAGGAAATAAGCACTTGTAGGAAAAAAATTCTAGTTGGTTCACTAAAAATTCCAAGCTTAAGAATCTGTCTTGGCAGCAGGTTTAACTTACATATATATGTAGATCTTGCTTAATAATATGTAGCAAACTTTTTTCTTATCATTTTTTAACAAAATTTCATTCTCCATCATGCAATCTGACATGCTTCTTTAAATTACAATTTAGAGAAAACTGCTTCGAACAACTTTCACATTTAAAAGGTTTTTCACCAGTGTGTGTTCTTCGATGTTTTTTCAAATCACTTGCTTGATAAAATTTCTTATTACAAAATTCGCATTCAAAAGGTTTTTCACCAGTGTGTGTTCTGAAATGACTTTTTAAAGTCTCTGAACGAGAAAACTGCTTGAAACAAACTACACATTCGTGAGTTTTTTCTCCCGTATGAGTTCTGAAATGTCTTTTCAAATCACTAGCTTGAAAAAAAGCCTTAAGACAAATTTCACATTTGAAAGATTTGTCACCTGTGTGTGTGAGCATATGTCTTTTTAAATCATTTGATTGGACAAACTGTCTTACACAAAATTCACATGAAAAAGGTTTTTCACCAGTATGTATAGTTAAATGGTATTTTAAATTTTCTGTACGAGTAAATTGCTTCAAACAAATATCACACTGAAAAGGTTTTTCACCCGTGTGTGTTCTTAAATGTCTTCTCAAATCTGCCGCGTTTAAAAAGTGCTTAAAACAAATTTCACACTCAAAAGGTTTTTCACCAGTGTGCATTTTAATATGGCTTTTTAAGTTACCTGCATGAGTAAATTGCTTGGAACAAATTTCACATTTATAAGGTTTTTCACCAGTATGTACTTTCATATGGCCTTTCAAATTACGTGCACAGGAAAATTGCTTACAACAAATTTTACAAACATTTTCACAAGTTTCACTTTACAAGTTTTTTCACAAAGTTTCACATCATATTCCTCTAATTCTTTCTTCATTTCAACCTTAACGTATTGGACAGCAGTGATAGAGGCAGGTTCACTACTTTCTTGTACGGTGTTGTTCTCCATTTTAACATAGTCTGGACAAGACTCAGATAATAGAGGTTCTTCAAAATTACAATCTGCTAATTCCGATTTAATATATTCCTTCAGTAAATCTACATTTCCGTTACAAGGTATTATTTGTTGGTTTCTGGAATAATTAAAATCTCCAGTGTACTCCATTTCGAACTTAAATAATTGTTTTTGTTTTCAACAAAAAGAGTTTGTTTATGTACACATTTGTGGTTATAAGGTTATTTATAACGTTATAATTCATCTTCTCATTGGACGACTGAATGACATTTTTGACATCAGTTAGTGAGGATAGATAATCCAGAATCAGTATGTTCTATCTTTTCATTCGACGATTTTGTCACGTGACCTATAATGAACATTGAAGTTATGTCACATATTGCTAAATAAGGTTTCTTACAAATGAAACACATTAGACATTTTTAATACAATTTAAAAAAACACAAAATAAAGTATTGAGTAAATATTTTTAACAGGAGGTTCACAACAACAATAAATAAAACACAATACTGAATACCTAACCTCAATAACTGGTGTCAAAAATGTCATCCAGTCGTCCAATCAGAAGATGGAATGCAAGGTGGCAATTAGCCTCTCGTGACTAGTAGCGCCACCGCCATTACGAACGGATGGGCCCATGCAAATTACTCACCCCACCGTCCTATTCCACTTACCCTACTATGTAGGTATGTATTGTGATCTATTGTCAGAAAGGGGAAGAGAGAGTATTTGAAAAGAAAGAACCTATCACTAATACCACAGAATACTGCATTCTGTGCTAATACCGCAGAATAAATAACAATGGTTTTATTATTCTGTGCTAATACAAAATGTGAGTGTATTCATGGCTGCCTAAATGTAGACGTGTTACCACAGAATTTCATACAAATACTAGATCTAAGCGTATTCATGTCTGCCTAAGTTTACGTATATTTTCATGTAAAATTCTTTTTCAAAATTCCATTTTCTATAAAATCGTTTATTAGAAAATAAAACACATTTAATAATAAAAAAATATTTTTCTTTCAAAGTGTATGCAAGTCTTTTAAATGAAGGAATTAACAATAACTTACAAAATATACTGAGGCCAAACGACCCCTTGTAATCCGTTAATGTTATTATAGGGTGACTCTATTATACAATTTAGGCAACAATTTTCCTTGATCATGTTAAACATACAGAAATACTAGTCTTATCGACACCCTACATTAATACTACTCCCATGGTGTGGTAAATTTGCCCTGTTGCTGCGCGGGAAAACGTTGGTTATTCCTTTGAGGTTTAAAATACAATAAATATATTATTATTATTGATAGAGAAATGTAAAGAAAATTGTCAAATTTAGTCTAGTGAAGACACAAAATCAATTATTGTAGACAGAATATTTAAAAAATGCACATGCTTTATTCAAAGTTAGTTGGATTGATAGGTTTACTCTACTGTATAATTTTTATTTTTAACATCCGAATTGAACTTTTAACTTTACAAATTTATGCAATTATTATTACAATCAAGTTGTAATCAATCAATATTGATTGACTAAAGCAGCCTTGACTACCTTACATTTATTCTTCATAAAACGAAGTGAAATAATAGTCTTGTGGGTAGGTGTACGGAAAAATCATTAATACAAGAATGGGAAAAAGCTGTGAACTTCAAAAGAACACAGTAGTTTTCGTCCAAGACCAATCAATAAAAAAAAAGAACGACCGCTTTTGATAATCTGGTTGCATTTTATATTCCAGATAAATTTATAGAAAAAATGTTTAGGCTGCCCACAAATTTCTCCCTTTATAGTGCCGAGGCTGAGGCTATATATGAGGCTTTAATTTATTTTAAATTGGCATCATATAGTTAATAAAGAATGGCTCGGACAAATTACACAGAATGATCAAGGTGATATTTAACGAATATATTAATGGACATCCAACACCAGATGAATGGAAAATAGCATATATGACCCCAATATATAAAAAAGGTGACAGGAGAAATTGTAAAAACTATAGAGGGATATCGGTCACAAGTTCAATGAGTCGACTATACGGTCGAATACTACGGGACCTGATAGAGGAAGATTATCAATCGTCTGAAGACGAAGAACAAGGATTTAGAGCAGGTCGTTCATGTACAGATAACATCTTCTGTCTTAAACAAATTAAGTATAGAAAAGAAAATTGTGACAAATAGAGAGTTACATATGACTTTTGTAGATCTTGAGAAGGCATATGACACAGACCCACTAAATAAACTATGGGAAGTCCTGGACACATCAAACATTGGTTAGTGCTCTCAAAGATCTATATTATAGTTCAAACTCCCAAATGAAATTCGGAAACCTCTTAGTTGAAAAATTTGTCGTTACTAAGGGTCTCAGACAAGGATGTTGTATCTCTCCGACTCTATTTAAGATTTATATCTCTGCAGCTCTGAAACAATGGAAAAGGAAAGTCAAAGGAATGGGTATACAATTGAACGATCAGGATTACATATATACTTTACAGCTTGCAGATGATCAGGTGGTGATCTCAAATGACAAAGACGACATGGAATACATGCTTAGAAAACTAATTGAAGAATACCAGAGATGGGGATTAAATATCAATTTAGAAAAGACAAAATACCTCTCAATTGGAGCTGAAGCAGAACAACTCGATATCGATGACAATCAAAAAATAAATCCATGTGACGAATGGGCGTCATCTTCGACCGCAGTGGAAAAGACGAACGAGAAATAGAACATCGAATTGTACAAGCACGAAGAGCTATAGCATGTTTGAACGGAGTTCTATGGAGTAAAGAAATATCAAAGAAAAGAAAATGGAACATCTATTAGACAATGGTTAAAACTAGCCTACTTTATGGAGCTGAGACATGGAGAATAACCGAGAAATATAAGAAGCCACGGAAATGGATGCCATAAGAAGATCGATGAGAATATCAAGAGCCGACAGAATACGGAATGAAGTGATAAAACAACAAATGGGTATAGAGGGCACTATAGTTGAGGATATTGAGAGAAAACAGCTCATATGGTATGGGCATGTGAGCCGAATGGGAACGAAAGATTGCCTAAAAAAAACGATGATGTGGCAACCTCCAGAGAAGAGGAAACGAGGAAGACCACCACCACATCATATAGTTCAGCAGTAAGGTTATCAGCTATTCCAAAACCGCAACTACCATGTAATACTTCTAATCCAAACATTTTTTTAATTAAAAAATGCTTATTTGAAATTTATAAATACACCCAAAAAATACAATTGATGATTAAAGCACATTCAGGACTAACATATAATGAAGATGTAGACCACTTGGCTAAAAATTCCATCATTAATGGAACACTAACCAACTATCCCTTGCATTATAGATGCTTTTGCTTGTTCAAAAACTGAACAAATGAACAACTGGAAACACTCTGGGAAAAGTACTGTAGTATTTCAACAACACAATACAGTTTGATACAACCAATTATTCCAAAAAAACCATGGTATAAAAATTTCATCCTCCCTCGCAAATACATAACTACCATCAGTAGAATTACATCTAGGCATGATAGTCACTTGAAACTATACGTTTGAATTACAGTTTACCTACTAAATTTAGATGTTTAAGACATGGAATGTCAAAACTTTATACACAGCAGGGAAAATCCACAATGTAATACAGGAAATAAAGAGAATGATGTTAAGGTGAAACATCAAGATCACTGAATTTTACAGGACTATAATATATAAACTACATTGTTGGGCAGTGAACATCAGATTTGCTAATTGGTCAGTGATAGATCTGTCTATAACCTGGGTCGATAGAGTTACAAATGAGGAGGTCCTTCAAGAAATTCAAGCTTGAATACTTATTATGAGACACCCTGAAAATATGAACTATTTCATCTCATTATTCAATCCACTACAAACATGGTTCTAGTAAAAGAACATCAGGCTGAAAAATCTAAGACAATGAAATGGAAAACTCACTACATCATTTTAAGAGTTGGTGTCAATAAAGGTATGATACCGAGTATGGTAGCCAATAAACGATGATAGTTGTCATGGAGCTAGAAGAAGAGATTAGTCTCTTTTGAATCCTTTCTGGTCTTCACCAAACTTTACATTCATATATTTCTCTAATTTCCTTTTTATTATTCAGGGGAGTATCTCATAGAGAGTACATCTACAAGAGTATTACCCTTGCAATCCTCATACTATGGTATGTCATAGACGAGACATATTGTTCCATGTCTCCATACATCCGTAATTTTTCCTGTTCCCGGATTTCCATCAAAAGGTTGGATCAAGAATGATGTTGGCACCGCACTAATACATGAATTTTGGTGTTAGACCTTATTTTGAGGAAGATAATTGATAATGGCATCTTGGATATATTGTAAACATTGTAAAACAATCACATTTGCAGATGATCTAGATTTATATGTAGAACAAGATATAAAACTGCAACAAACAAACAATTAGATTGTAAGCAATTACATTCATTCTAAATTCAATAGGTTCTAGTAAAAGCCATATACCAAGTTTCAGGACTGTAGGACTATTCCTGCATGAAAAAGAAAAGGGGAAGATCTATTAAGACCAAATTGCTTACATAAAAAGGAATCTCTGTACCAAGTTTCCAAATTTGAGAACATTTCCTTCAAGAAAAAGAAAATAGATAACCACTATTAGCCCATCTATCCAATCTATCTACCAAGTCTCTAAAATATAAGAATTTTCCTTCAAGAACATTAAAAATCATTTTTGTATCAAGTATGCGAGAAGAAGTTATATTGACTCTAAACTCAATAAGGCCCCTTCTTACATCACCAGCAATCCATATACTCAGTTTCAAGACTCTAGGACTACTCCTTCATAAAGGAAGAAAAGAAAAATGCCTACTGAGACCAAATTGCTTCCACCAAAAGGAACATTTGTTTGAAGTTTTCAAATTCCAGCACAATTTCTTCAAGGAAAACATATGATATAAAAAGAAGAAAATCTATTAATCTTAAATTCTATGGGGGTTTTCCTTACATACAGAAAAATATAGAAATTTTTAGGATAAATTCTACCTGTAAAATAGATGATATGCAGAATGTACCACATCATACTGTTTCAATTTATTGTCATAGAACCCTCC